AATGAGAGAGAGAGAGCACATGAGAGGGGGGAGGGTCAGAGGGAGAAGCAGGCTCCCTGCCGAACAGGACCCCGATGCGGGACTCGATCCAGGGACTCCAGGATCATGACCTGAGCCGAAGGCAGTCGCTTAACCGACTGAGCCATCCAGACGCCCTCAAAGATCTTTTTAAATTGAGCTTTTTGTTATTGATCTGTAGGTGTTCTTTATATATTCTGGATAAAAGGCCTTTGTCAGAATTACATGTTTTGAATCTTTCTCCATTCTGGTTTTTGTTTCACAAACCAGTGTCTTTTTTAACAGTGTCTTGTGGTACAGAGAATTTTTACATTTGTAACACTGATTTGGCAGCAGTAATGGTGTGGACATCATTGACTTATTCACAGTCTTGGGGAAAGCATTAACATTTCACGGTTAAGTGTGATGCTAGCTGTATGGTTTTGTAGATGCCGTATGTTAGCTCAAGGAAGTACCCAGTGCCTCCCTGTCTGCTGAGAGCTCTTATCTTAGAGGGTAGAGTATTACAGACGGCCGTGTCTACTGTGGTGATCACGCGGCATCTGCCCCTTTATTTACTTATTATTTATCTGTTTCCCCCTGTAGTCTGCTAATGCAGTTACTTACACTGATTTAAGTCTTTCATGTTTCTAGCTTCCTCACCTTGCAGCCCTGCAGCAGACTTCCTAAGGTTGGGATGTGTTGTCTTTTTATATATTGCTAGATGAGATTTGCTGTTATTTTGCTTAGGCTTTTGCATGTGTGTTCATGAGGAGTGCAGGTCTGCAGCTCTCTTGGGACCTCCTTGCTGGGCTCCTGTGTCAACACAGTGCTCCCCTTGTGAAGGGCTTCTTCCTCCCTGGGCATGTTGGTGTAAGGCTGAGGCTGTTCTTCCTTGAATGTTTGCTCGAGCTCACCGTGGAAGCCATCCGGGCCAGACATCTCCAGCAAGGCTTTTAATTAAGGGTTCAATCTCTTTAACAGATACAAGACTTATAATATTTATATTTTGTTTCTTTTTTTTTTAAGATTTTATTTATTTGCGAGAGAGAAAATGAGAGACAGAGAGCATGAGAGGGAGGAGGGTCAGAGGGAGAAGCAGACTCCCTGCTGAGCAGGGAGCCCGATGCGGGGCTCGATCCCGGGACTCCAGGATCATGACCTGAGCCGAAGGCAGTCACCCAACCAACTGAGCCACCCAGGCGCCCTATATTTTGTTTCTTGTGTCAGTTCTGGTAGGTTTTTGTTTTTAAAGGAAATTATCCATTTCATCACAATTGTGAAATGCATTGTAGCTCCTAAGTTCTCTCCTTGTGCTTTCAGTGCCTCTGGGATCTGTGGTGGTGTCTCCTTTAGCTGTGACATGGGTGGTTTATGCTTCCCTTCTCGTGGTCACTCTCGTGTCAAGGCTTTCTCTAATGCATCTGTGTCTTCGCCCTCTGTTCTTTATTCCTTTATCTTCACGACAAGCTGTCACTGCTGTTGCTTTAAGCAGTCAGGATTCCGTACCTTCTGCAGTGATTCCCAGGACTTTGCTTCTGCGGTGCTCCCCGTGCCCTCCTTCAGGTCTGTGCCCCTGTCGCTCGCCAGTCTCCCAGCTTGTTTGCCTTGAGTGTTCGTATTGTGTCTTTCTTGCAGCTCTGTCCAGATGTAACTCACATACCATGAAAGTCACTATTGTACATGATTCAGTGATTCTTCATAAATCTAGAGTTGTCTGCCATTGTCTCACTCCCTGCTCCCACGCCATCCCTGGCGACCGCCGTCTGCCTCTTGTCTGCACAGTCCCTTTCCTGGACGCTGCATGGACACAGAGTCATGCAGCTTGCAGTGTTTTATGTCTGGCTTCCTTCTTTCTGCAAAACAGCTCTGAGTTTCCCCCGTGTTGTAGCATGTGGGGCAGTGGTTGCTTTTTTTGTTCCTGAAGAGCACCCCGTTGTGTGGGTACACGTGCTCTGTTTGCCCATGAACCATCTGAGGGGCCGTGGGTTGCTTCCGGTTTTTGTCTGTTAAGAATCATGCTGCTGTGGGGCGCCTGGGTGGCTCAGTTGGTTAAGCGACTGCCTTCGGCTCGGGTCATGATCTCAAGGTCCTGGGATCGAGCCCCGCATCGGGCTCCCAGCTCAGCGGGAAGCCTGCTTCTCCCTCTCCCACTCCCCCTGCTTGTGTTCCCTCTCTCGCTGTCTCTTTCACATCAAATAAATAAATAAAATCTTAAAAAAAAAAAAAGAATCATGCTGCTGTGAAAATTTGCACCCAAATCCTTGTGTGGACATGTTCTCATTTACCTTACAGAGATGTGCAGGAATAGAATTGTCAGATTGTAGGGCAAGTTTATGTTTCGTATTTTAAGAAACTGCCAAGCTGTTTTCCACATGGGCTGTTGTTTACATTCTCACCAGCAGTATGCAAGGACCCTAGTGTCTCAGGGTCTCTCCACATCAGCGCCAGCCCTGGTTGCTGTTTTAAGTTATTGTTACGGTCATTCTAGTAGATACAAGGTAAGTTCTGTGGTTCAATTTGCATTTCCTTTTCTTTTTTAAGATTATTTATTTGAGAGAGAGCATGAGCGGGGGGGGGGCGGGGGGGGAGAGAATCTGAAGCAGACTCCACACTGAGCACAGAACCCGAGGTGGGGCTTGATCACATGACCCGAGATCACGACCTGAGCCAAAACCCAAGAGTCGGAGGCTTAACTGACTGTGCCATCAGGGGCCCTTCAGTTTGCATTTCCTTAATGACCAGTGATGTTGAGCATTTTTTCATGGTCTCATTTGCATCCGTATATCTTCCTTGGTGAACTATTTAGAACTTTTGCCCATTTTTGCATTGGGTTATTTATCTTACCGAGTTGTAAGCATTCTGTATATATTCTGGATATAAGTCTTTCGTCAGAGAGATGGTTTGCAAATATTTTCTCCCAGTTTGGCTTGTCTCTTCATTTTCTTAGTGGTATCTTCTGAAACACATGTTTTTAGTTTTGATGAAATCCATTGTATCAGTTAATTTCATAGACCATGCTTTTGGTGTGATATCTGAGAAATCTTTGCTCAAACAAGATCATGAAGATTTTTTCCTAGAAGTTTTATAGTTTGAGCTCATGCATTTAAGTCTCTGATTCACCTTGGGTTAATTTTTATATGTGGCAAAGGTCTAAAATTCATCCTTTTGCAGGTGGGTGTTCAGTTGTCCTCGCACTGTCTGCTTAAAAGATTATGCTTTCCCCAGCTGAAGTGAGGGCTCTCTTCTGTCAAAAACCAATTGGCCATGGGGCGCCTGGGTGGCACAGTCGGCTGAACATCCAATTCTTGGTTTCGGCTCAGGTCGTGATCTCAGTGTCGTGAGATCGAGCCCCACATCGGGTTCCATGCTCAGCACAGAGTCTGCTTCTCTCTCTCTCTCCCTCTGCCGCTCCCCCCACGCTCGTTTGCTCTCGCGCTCTGTCTCTAAGATAGATAAGTACACAGAATCTTTACAAACATACGAACGGTGGGCCGTGCATGTGTTGGTTTATTCTGGGCTCCAGTCAGTCCATGGGTCTGGGGGTCTGGGCTCCCACCCACACCATGCTGCAGTGGTCACTCTTGCTTTAGAGCAAGTTCGAGAGTTGAGAGGTGTGAGTCCTCCACACTTATTCTCCCTTTCCACACTTCTTCTGACCCTTTTGGGTCTTTACCCTTCTTGCAAGTGCTGGGTCAGCTTGTCGGTTTCTGCACCCAGAGCTTATCGGGGTCCTGGGGGGCGCATGTTGATGCTGCAGCTCGGAGGGGGAGACGTGCTGCCTCGTTTTTGGTGAGGCCGCGAGCCCAAAGACGCAGGGCGTCCCTGCCAGGCCCACAGCCATGCTGTGCTGGTTCTTCCTCGGTCGCCCGCGGGTCGGTCACGGTGCCCCGTCTCCTGTCCTCCCGTCCCCCTTCAGCATGGACCTTTTCCGCGAGCCTGTGTCTCACTGCTTCTGTCCTTCCTTCTGTGCCACCCCATCCGTGCCTCAGTCTGTCCAGTGAGTTCATGACTTCAGATAATACGTCTCCCGTTTTGTAATGGTTCTTTTTGTATTTCCACTTCTCCAATGAAATCCTTGATTTTCCCTCATTTTGTTGATCTTTTCTTCTAAATTCCATAGGACTCTTTGCTGTAATTACCTTGACTTCCTTGTCTGATAATTCCAACACCTGGATCTTCTGAGGGCCTGCTTCTGTTGACTTTCCCTAGTTATGGGTCACCTTTTCCCGTTTCCCTACATGCCTTGCAATGTGGGGGGTGCTGATTGTTGTCCCTAAAAGAACGGTATTCTTTCCCCTGAGAGATACGCCTGCCTCCACACAGCCCTTCCACTTAAGGTCAGGGTGTGTGGGACTGGCCCCTCGAACACGGGGCAAGGTCTGTGTGTGTTCAGGGTGCTGAGGTTCAGTCTGTGCGCATCCTGACCGGAGGCTTATCCGGCAGCACCGTGGTGAAGACACCACAAAATGCGGGTGCTGAGCCGGCTTTTCCTAAGGACCAGGGGTAGCACCCAAGCTCTGCAACCAGTGAGGCACTTGGGGCATCTTTATGTTAACACAGGAAGCATCGGTTACCAGACGAAATAAAGATTCACATGATATTTTCTGACATAATCTCCGTCTCTGCGTGTCTGCTAGAGCCAGGCCCCATGCTGACCCGCAGGCTCGCAGGCGCCACTTGGGAGAGTGTGAGGTGCGCCCTCTCTCCTGACGGCAGACGCGAGGCTGGAGCCGTGCCCCGCTCTCTCCCTGTGGGGCTGTCCCTCCTCACAGATCACCCTGCAGCCAGACGTCAGCGTCCCCGGCATGGGGGCTCCTATGGGAAAGGCCAGGGGCTGTGTCACCTAAGGGACACACCGCGTAGTGGGAGCCGCGAACGGGCCTTCAAAGCTGAAGGAAGGGAGCGGTCTCCGTCAGGAGAACCGCGCCGGAGCCAGACCTGTCTGGACGCGTCTGAGCGTGTGCGTGTTTCCTCACGTCTGCCTCCTTTTTCCTTTCTAGGTTTGGGAAAAGCTCTTAGGTTGTGAAACTCCACGGATTAATGTATTTATGGCAGTGCCTACAATCTACGCCAAGCTGATGGATTATTATGACAGACATTTCACCCAGCCTCATGTCCAGGATTTTGTCCGTGCAGTTTGTGAAGAGAAGATTAGGTAAATGGAAACAGTCTGCACTCCTGCCCAGAAAGCCTTAAAGATCAACTAATATCACATATGTTTAGTAAAACAGTCCCAACTTGTAGGAAGCAATATTTTCCACCCCCTCTGATGGATAGACTGAGCTGTGTTTTCTGTGTGTCCGTCTGTATTTTGTCTCTCTCTCTGAGTCTGTCCAGATGCATCTGTCTCTGTCAGTCTGTCTCCGTCTGTCTTGTGGTCCAGTCAGAAGGACGAGGGCTCGCCCCCATCCGTTCTGGCCCTCGAGCCCCCCGTCCCCCCGCGGAGCACGCCCACCCCTGCCCTGCCCCTCCCAGACCTGCTGACAAACACCCTTCCTGACAGCACATGCGCGGAATCTTCCGGGCCCTTCCGTGGCATGAGGCTTGTTCTGCTTTCTGTCACGACCCTGCAGACACAGCACGCTTCTCCCTGATTTTCACTCAAGGGTGAGCCCCTGAGAGAGTGCACACCCAAGTGGGGGGCTTGGTGAGTTTTCCCAGGACCGGGGACATGTGACACGCTCTGTGAGGCAAGCACAGCCTTTCACGGCACGTGGAGCGAGCTGCCTGGCCAGTGTGAACGGGACGCTCTCGGTGTGATGCGTGTGCGTCAGGCTGAAGTGACAGGTGCCACCCCCGCGAGCCCGCCGGCCGCAGCTATGGGCTGTCTCCTTGCGTCTGCCCTCCTGCGCCTCAGACCTGGAAGCAGTTTATGCACAAACCAAATTCTTACCAGTGTTGCTGTGATTTAGGGTTGTTTGTAGACGGCACATCAGTCGTGTGCAAAGCATGCCTCCAAAGACCCTAAAATTATTTTTTTACCTCAGTTACCTGTTCCTTTTGAAGACCTGTTTTACTCTAAGATGCACCCAACAAATTCTTTTTAAGAGAACAGAGTTAAAATCTAGCCCCCGACTGGCGTTTTTGTCATGAGCTCGAGGTGCTGGTTGACTGAAGAGCGCCGTGCGTGTCTGGTTTTCGTTGTCCGGCCGGGGAGGACGCCGCCTCGGAGAAGCTAAGGCCGCCTCTGTTGTGCTGGTAGGTTGATGGTTTCGGGATCGGCCGCCCTGCCCCTGCCTGTGCTGGAGAAGTGGCAGGACATCACAGGCCACACTCTGCTGGAGCGGTACGGGATGACGGAGATCGGCATGGCCCTGTCCAACCCCCTGACCGCCACTCGCGTGCCAGGTATGAGCAGCCCCTGCCGGCTGTGTCCTCTCTGCCCCGAGCCCTCAGCTGGGCTGGGCCGGGGAGGACGCTGCCCTGCTGGGCCAGAGAACTTCCTTGGGGCGCCAGCCAGGCGGCGTGGTCTTTCCCCCCGTGGGCACTCACGTTTCTCCCAAGTGGCCGGTCAGGGATGGGACAGATAGGTGTTCTTGATACCAGTGTCCTTCCCAGGTGACAAGTGGGAAGAATGGGATCGACCAGGATCCATGTGCTCAGCAGTGTGCCTCCCGGGGCGGGCGCTGCTTCCGTGCAGACCACGGGGCCCACTGCCAGAGCCTCCCGTGCAGGCACCCAGAGCCATGCAGGGTGTCGGGGCAGCGGGTGAGGGGGCCCTCCATGTGTCTGGATGACCTGCAGCTGCAGACAGCTTCCCGCCCTGGGCTTACCATCAGCCTTCTCTAAGACGGTCCCACTGACTTTAGCTCAGACTTGCACATCCAGGCTCCTCAGCAGGGAATCTGCCAGCAGAGCCCAGGCCTGAGGTGTGGATGTGCTCTGCTCTGACCTCGGCGCTCTCCCAGGCGTGGGACATTGCCTCCTGCAGGCCCACAGCACAGGAGAGAGCCCCTTAGAAGTAATAGCAAAACAACTCCGGCTCTATGATTATATCCCTGCATCCATTTATCGTGCACATACGGTAAAGTTCTCCCTTCCCACGTTCAGTTCTGTGAGGTTTTGAAAACACACGTAGCCGACCACACGCTTGAGACACGGAAGGGCCTGACGGCTCAGACCCTCCCCTTCTGCGCACTCAGCACCTCTTCCCCCCAGGCCAGGCAAGCACGCACCTGTTTTCCCTTCTTGTACTTGTGCTTTCTCTGGAATGTCGTACAATGAATCCTACAGGACGTGGCCCTTTGGGTCCTTTAGCGGGATGTGTCTGAGACTCATCCATGTGGGCATGGGTTCCTTTCCCTTGCTGAGTAGAATTCCACGGTGTGGACAGGCCACTGTTTCTTGGCCTGCTCTGCCGCCGAAGGACACTGGGTTGTGTCTGGTTTGGGACAGTTACCAGTGGGGCTGTTGTAAACATTTGTATGCAGCTTCTCTGCAAACATGTGCCTTTATTTCTCATGGGTCACACCCAGGGTGGGGTTGGTAGTCAGAAGGTAGGTAAGTACTTGACTTCCCCAGAAGTGGCCAGACTCTGTCCAGAGCAGCCCCTGATGCAGGGGTGACAGGCTTTTGGCAACCACACAAGCTGCCGGGGCCACATGGCTGGTGTGTGACGGAGTGGATGTTCATACTGTGGCACCGGGATACCCACTTTGCCACGAGCACAGCAGCGTGGCCCAGTTTGGGGGAAGAGAGGGTGGCACAGAGATGCATGGGGAACCTTCTGGTTCATTAGAAGAGCAAACACAAGACCAGGAGCCAGGGCAGGATGGAGGGCACAAGGGAGGCCCAGCTGGGGGCTCACCCGGGTGGTAGAGGGAGAACCCCCAGGTGACTGGGGAAAGCAGAGGTCAGGACAGAGGTTACGCGAGGGTCCCTGACTGACCTGGCCTTTTCCAGCCCCCCATGAGGAAGGTAGAACGCGAAGGCTCTGAACCCCAAGGACACTGTGAGGAACAGGAGGGCGTGGGTGTAGTCGCTCTTCCTAACCGCAGGATCAGATACCCATGACCTTGTCTGTAAGGCAGGCCTCCAGCAGTCGAGACCAATGCTGGTTCTTTGGTTTGGAAAAAGGCAAAGTGGCATCGTTTCTGGAGAAACTGGTTGAGGGCTTTCCTTGGCACCTTCGGTCCCATCCGTGCGCCTTGATGCCTGGGCTGGGCTCATGGTGCGCTTGGGACGCGGCCGACCATCCCGGGCCCCACACCTGCTTCCAGCCCAGGGCTTCAGGCCGGCCCCTTCCTTCGGGCTGCCCACACGGCCTCTGAGCGTTGCTCTCACGGTCACTGCAGTGACCGCCAGGATCCATGTTTAAAGGTCCTCCAAAGCTGACAGGGCACACAGGGCAAGGCCAACCTTGAAAGAGGGACCTGCTGCACGGAGAGGGTTGTGTGTCAGGCTCTGGGTCGGATCTTCCGACTGTTCCTTCTCTGCGTCCCTGGTGGTTACCATGAAGGGGGATGAATAATTCATGGCCTGGCGCTGCTGGGCCTAATCACGCTCTAGTTGGAGGTGGAGATCAGAGGCACTGATGGCTCCTGCAGGGGGCTCCGTGGAGCGCTGACAGGAACTCCAGGACCTTACCAGCCTGTTCCCGTTCTCCCGGGGCCAGCTGCAGAGCTGCATCCCTCCCTGGATGCTGGACAGAGCCACAGGCCAACTACAGTTATCTGGAAAGAGCCGACAACGGTCTCAGAGATGCAGAAGAATGACATGCACTTCTGACCATGCCCGGCACTGCCGCCCAGGGGACACTGGCGGGGGGCACCGTCCCCGCGGGTGCAGGAGGGGACTGCTGCTGGTGGGCCCTGCTCTGTCTGGCCAGCTCAGGCGGGGTGGACGTGGTTTGGGGCCACGGCTGCCCGTGCAGACTGCAGCGTCTTCTCTGGGTGGACCTCACCCCACGGTCCCTGCGGACTGTGAAGCTGGAGTCGTCGTCTGCACCAGGAGATTTTAGTCATATTGTTGTGTCTGATGCGGTAATTAAGCGCGGTTCTGCCTGCACTCCCACGAGATCGTAATGTCTGGCCGCGGTCACTGTTGAGATGGAGGAAAGGCCAGGGAGGAGCAGGAGGAAGCTGGGAGGAGGGTTTCTTCCTTTTTAAAGAGTATTGCAAGGAGAAAGCAGTGGATTGGAAGGAGGGGAGGAGGACGGTGGGTGGGGAGGCTCGTGTTTTCGAATTGAGGAGGACGGTTATGGGACCCTCTTCTGGTGAAAAGTACATGCTGGGTTTCTGCCTCCATACCTGGCACAGAGGTCCTGGAACCCTTGGGATTTCCTAGGTGATGGGCACCACCAAGGGGTCCTAGCTGTTCACAAAAGCCCCTTCCCCAACACCTGAGTCTCTGCTCATGATACGAGCTTGGGAAAGCCCCTAAGGGTGGGGCTGGGACCAACCTGCGATTGGAGGGGTGGAACCTTTGGGGAGCAGAGAGGGGCTGTGGGCTGAGTCAGTGGCCAGTGGCTTCATCAGTCGTGGGACTTCCATAAAAACCCTGTGGACGCTGGTGCACAGAGGAGGTGCTGGGGGTGGTGCCTTGGGGGCCGGGAGCTCGGGGACCCCCCTTTCCTTGTGGATTCTTTTCAGCAACAAGCTTAACTCCTCCGTTGTGTACGCTGCTCTCCCCAGGCCTCAGGTCTGTGCAGAAGGGCTGACAGACACGCGGCTCGGTGGCGGGCCAGGGTCCGAGGTCCTCACACTGCTCCCGCCTGCTGGTGTGGGACAGCCGAGAGCCCTCTGGTTACAGCCCTGACCTCCCCCCACCAGGACCTCAGATGCAGAAGACAGGCCATAAGGACAGTGTGGTGCCATATTCTAGCAACATGAGGCCCGTGTAGCTGACCTTCCCAGGAGTTTGGATCCCAGAATCCTGAGCAGATGTTGAGTTGTGGAGTCAGCCTTCCAGGCACTTGTCCCAGGCCAGATCCTCACCGATGCCAGTGGTTAAATAAAGGGCCTGAAGCCTTGATGTGAGTCCTCCCTCACAGCTACTGAGCATTTGGTGTCAGGACCTCTGCCCACATTGGTCCTTTGTTAGAGTGGCCGTGGGGACGCGGGGCGCAGCAGGCCGCTCCACCGGGTGCTCCTGGTGGGATGAATACACTGAGCATACCGTGGGTGCCTAATAAATGAACCAGAATGCTGGTGGCATTCTCCACCTGCCAGCTCCGTCCCTCTTGGGCCTTCTTGGGCACAGGCGCTCTTCGTGCCCCCCAGGGACAGTCCACCGTCACCCGCGCTCTTACTGCACAGCCAGCTGCCAGCGGGGACGTGGCAGCGACCCCAGCCTCCAGCCTGGGCACCGAGAGCCTCCCCAAGGTGATGGAGCTCTGGAGCATTCGGAGCCGGGCCTCGCAGGCCACGGGCGGCTGAGTGCTGGCCGCTGCGGAGCCCCGTCCCTGTGGCTCCGGGGTCTGCTTTCTCTGCAGCCCTGTCCTCTCTCTTCTGCAGGTTCTGTGGGGACCCCGCTGCCGGGCGTCGAGGTGCGCATCGTCTCAGAAAATCCGAAGAAGGAGGGCTGCCCCTATGTGCTCCACGCGGAAGGAAATGAAAAGGAGACGCAGGTGGGCCGCTCTCTGAGCTCAGTGGGCAGCACACAGGCATCACGTGGCCGTGACCGCCCAGCAGGCCAGCCACAGAGGGTGAGGGTCTCTGCTTTGGGGGTGGAGCCCCCACCGCGCAGGGACGGCTCCTCCTGGACAGCAAAGGTGCTGGCTGGTGGTGTTTCTGGGCGCTGTGGCCTTGGGGACAGTGCTGGGCCCAACCTCCAGGGCTCTGCCCCGCTGCCCCCCAGGCTCCATCCACCAGGGACGCTGCGAGGCGGGTCGTGACAGCCTCAGAACAGCCCTTGTTAAAACAGGTTGTTGTAGGCGCCATCTGGTTAAAACTTGTGCGGGCGGGGCCCTGTCCCCACTCAGTGAACGCAGGGCAGGTGTGGCCAGCTCTGGGAGCCTTGCGAGGCCAGTGTGGGCGACTCACAGAGCCCCGAACACGAAGGTTGCCCCCGGCCGCTGGATTCAGTGGTGGCTCTCACCGATACTCTGAGTCAACAAGGGTGAAGCAGGGGGAGAAGGGGAGATTATGGTCTTCAGTGAAGATTCTCATAGTTACTATCTGCTGGTCGTAAGCGAATGGTAATCAGAAGACATTGCGGTTGGCGGGAGCTGGAATTTTGGTTTAAAAAGAGATTACTTTGTCTAAGCCGATGTGCAGGCTGGACTCCCGTGTAAGGGATCTCTGTTATGAGGAGTGAGCGGCTTCTCTCTCCCTGCAGCCCCGCTCTCCCGTTCGGCACCTGCCTCGCCTGTGGCCTCGGTGTCCGTGTCTCAAGTGGGGGGTCAAAGAGACTGCCAAGCACATGGGTGGAACGGGGTGGTCTTCGGTGTAATCCTACGGTGACGTTCACAGTGACGTCAAGAAGGAGGTGTTCCGTCTGCCCAAGACCCCTCACCTGGGCCTCGGGTGGAGGGCCAGCCTGTGGCACCTCGCCGGGCTCCCGAGGCCTCTGCTGCCCGGTCGTGACAGGCCTCCAGGCCCACCCTCAGTCCCTCCGTGGTGTGCGGGCAGGCTCCCGGCTGCCCTCGGGCGGATGCCCGCCTCTCTCCAGGACAGCCTGGAGGCCCCGAGCCGTAGCTGTTGCTCCCTGACCACCCTCCGCTTGGGCTTCTGCCTCAACACGGCTGTTCCAGGCTGTCAGCCTCAGCCACACCTCGAAGTCCTCTTCTGGCTCATGGCCTGCGCCCTCAGTCCCCCGCCTCCTCACGGACGTGCTCACACCCAGGTCACCTGCGCCTGCGATCCGTGCGGTGATGGGCTGCCTCCCCGTCTGGACACCCAGCCTATTTGCTGGGTCGGGGATGGCCGGGGGGAGTTCGAGGGACCCTGGTCTGTCACGGCGTGTGGGTCAGTCCCCAGCCAGCAGCACAGATAGCATTGCCTGCCCCTGCATCCCCCAGGTGCCATTCCCCTGACCACCTGGCCTCCAGGCGCACGCGGGGCGCTTCTCCCCCTGCAATTACAACGAAATCTACCTGCTTCGCAGCTGGGGTGCAGCCCGCCCGCCTGACTGCTCCTCGTCCGTCTTTACTTGCTGCAGTCTGAAGAGCGCTCAGCGCTGGAATGCACTTAAATAGGAAGACCTGCAGCCCCGGCCCTTGACAGACAGAAGGAACGCGTGCTCCCGGGGTGGCCCTGGGGGCCGTGGGGACGGGAGGGATTGAGGGAGCCAGAGTCCCTCCCCACAGGGCACGCCATGCACACACCTCTGTCTAAATGTGAAGACGGGGGATTCAGGGCTCCTGCTGTGTGTTCTAGAACATTCCCAGCTTGCTCAAGGAATCAGTGTGACCATCCAGAACAGAGCTGCCTCGATGACCACATGCAGGCCTCAGGGTCCCCACGTGCGGCCCTGTGACCGGGGAGGCTGCCCTCTCTCCCTTGGTCCTGCTGGCAGGAACCGCCAGCCGTGGCTTGAGTTACCGACCCCTTGTCCGGACCATGGGACTCGGGCCTCGTGCATGCTATCCGCGAGGGCCGTGCTCACCTTGCATCTCCCTCCCTCTGTCCTTTCAGAGTGGGGACTCAGACACTTGTCACTGTCACCCCTGGGACCTGTGGAGGGAGAGTGGCCCATGGGCAGCTTCTGTCTGGCTCCCCGCCCCCTCCACGAGAGCTGCTCATGACCGCGTCTTTCCCGGGAGCCCGTCGACACCATGGTGTGTGCATGAACCCGGGCAGGCTCAGGCCATCCTGAAGGAAGCATGTTTGTGTTGTTTTCATGACGTGTCGCAGTGGAAACGAGCTAACCTGTTGTCTCGTTGGGGACCTTGGTCATTAATGAGGGGGAGGAGCCACACGTGGTGAGGTGTAGAGGGACGACCTCTCCAAAGCCAGGATCTACTCTGTTTACAGGACTTGGAACATGTTGCTTGAAGTGTGGACGTCCTCTCTGGACACGGCATTTGCCCGACAAACCTCAGTCCTCCTGTGATACGTAAATTCTCAGTACAGCCCAGACTTCTGAGGACTGACGGATTTAACGTTCAGAAGTCAGGATGGCTGAAGATGATTTTTCAGTTTTTTTCAAGTTTTAGTTAGAAATAATTTCAAACTTCCAGAAAAATTGGAAAACTAAGAGTATGAGGAACAGCCGGCCATCCACGTGCCCTGCCCCCACCCCTCCATTTCCAGTGGGTGTCCCTCATGCGGCCGGGGTGCGGGATGGCCCATGTCATATCCCGGGGATCTCTCACCCACCACCGTGTGCTCCTCGTGTCTGTTGACCAAGCGACATCAGGTGTGCGGCCTTCACTCAGGTCCTGCCTGGGCTCAGGTGGCGCCTTTGCTCTTCACAGTGAGGGGACCCAGAGCTTGGCAAGGCCACCTTAGGCCTGAGTGACAGGCGTGACATCCACACTTCTCAGAGAGGGACAGGGACACCTGAGCAGGAGCGTGCCGGGCGCTGACGGCGAGTGGGGAGCACAGAGGTGCCCAGGAAACCTTCCCTGAGAACCTCCCCTGGGCCAACTTGCCGTGGGCACCTCGGCCTCGAGTTCTCCCATGCCTGCCTTCTTCATCCAGCCTCACTCTGGGCTGGACACAGTGTCCCCTGGAGCCACCGGGGTCCAGAGACGGGTGTTGGCAGTGATGGTGCCCAGAGGCGGTGCGGGGCAAGGTGTCCCCCAGGCCTGCGCAGCCTGGGAGCCCTTGGTGCTTCTCTGGCCAGAACCCAGCACCAGCAATCAGGAGTGAGTGGCCGGGGGGCTCTGGGGGCTCTGCCCTGCAGAGGGGAGTCCCTGGGGAAGACAGGAGCGGACAGGGGTTGGGCCCAGCACTGCTTCCCAGACCGCAGGGAGAGCCGACGTTTGTTCTCAGGCGCAGAGCAGGCGGGGAGAGGAGCACGGGCCTGTGTCTGCCAGCAGCCGTGGCAGCGGGGCAGTGCCTGAGTCCACGAAAGGCCGTGGCAGCCCAGGAGGGTGGCTCACTTGTCCCAGGCTCTCATCACATCCGGCCGGGCACACGTGTGCACCCTGCAGGGCACGGTCTGGGCTCCCACTGTTGGTCCTCGTGTGGGGAAACCGTCGGGTCTCATCCGTGGCCCCATCATGGGGTTGCCCCGGCTGTGGCTGGTTGGTGACTGTCCCTGCCGTGCACAGCTCTGCGCTCTGTCCGGCAGGACTTGGGGTGCTGGAAGCGCGGGCTCCCCTCTCCCCTACCTGGACAGGCCCCCCGCTCCACCTTCACGGTTTCCTCTGGCTTCTGTCTCATCTCCCTGCTGGGCCGCGGTGAATGCCACATCTGCCCGCAGGACCCAGTGGCTTTGTTTGCCGTGGTGCATCTTGCACGTGCCGTGGCTGCCCGCTGCCTTCGCCTTTTAACTCCATGAACACGTCACACGCTGTCTGTATCCGTTTATCTATTTTCCAAGTGTTCACTTTCCAGAGAGCCAAGCCCTCACCAGCAGCACCGCGGTCCATCCGTAGACAAATAGCTTCATAACTGAATGTAACCCGCCAGCCTTCACGTAGAAACATCTCTGGCTGAGGACGCGGAGATACCGCGTGTTTTGTTCGGGCTGGAGCAGGGCAGCGGTAGCGAGCTCTGCTTCCCTTTATTTCCCCTTAAAAAATTAATTATCTTGTGTTTATCCATATGCAAGCTGTCGCTCTGGACAACAGCCTGCTGGCTTGCCTCTCCTCCCGACGGCCACCAGCATCTCCTGGGCTCCCCCGCCCCCCGCATCTTCTCCCATCCCTGCCTGTCAGTGCCATCTGTCGTGGCCGTGTACCACCAGCTGCTGTGTGTGACCCGCGGCAGGGCGAGGACTGGGGGCGAGGGCCGTAGGGCCTGGACATGCGCTGGTCCTGCCGTGGGCGGGGAGCCCAACTGCCCCCACGAAGGCACTCACCTTAGACAAACAGCAGACCATCATCAGCCGTGTGTCCCTTGTGTCTTGGGATGCAGTGGGTTACCCCCTCCCTAGCAAGGACCAGGTAGGAGGTGGCACTGCCCCGAACGGGGAAGCTTCACAAGGAAGAGGAAGGCCAGGGGCCCTGATGTGCCCCATGAACGTCTGCAAGGTCTTAGCTGCCCTGTGCTGTGCCTCCCTGTTCCCGACAACCAGAGCCTGCCCCCAGATACCCTTGAAAGGCATGCTCCTTCCTGCCATGGGTCTCATCCCTGCGTGAATGTCCAGGTCCTTCCAGTCCAACCCACGTCCTGAGGCCTGAGCAGTGGCAGCCAGTGGGAGGCAGCCATTCATCAGGACATAGTGGGAGCCCACAGCCAAGGAGGGACCCAGGGGCCTTTAGGCTCAAGAGCTCTGCTATGGGTCCTGCCCCTCCTCACCGGTCCCCTTGGCCCATAGCCCACGTGCCTGCCTTCCTGCACCTCCTTCCCCCACGCCTTTCTCCACAGAAGGTTGGAGCAGACCCCTTATCATGAACTTGGGCAGATGTCAGGGGGCTTTCCAGCAACACCTTCTGCTGATAGAGAAGAAGACATTCAGGCTCCTTCCCATGAGGAAGCCTTCATTCTAGTGCTGGAGGTTCTCTAGCATGGCCCCTGGTCGGAGTAAAATGGGGGGGGGCCTCGTGCAGGGGTGCACATGCCCAAAGACAGGAGTCCCCTGTGAAAACAGCCCAGGCTCAGGCTTTCTTGAACTTGTGATGGGTGCTACGTATTTCAGCAGGGTCTATACTTAGGTTATATGTTCTCCACTGGTCTGTGCATCTTTTGCTCTGCCAACACCAGTCCTAACTAACTCCTGTGGTTTTACGGTAAGTCTCAGAACGACGGTGCCATGCCACCAATTTTATTCTTCTCGTTCACAGTTCTAGCTATTCTAGTTATTTTATCTGCCATACCAATTTTTTTTTAAAAGACTTCATTTACTTATTTGAGAGAGAACAAGCATGAGCAGGGGGAGGGGCAGAGGGAGAAGCAGACTGTCCGCTGAGCAAGGAGCCCGACATGGGGCTCGATCCCGGGACCCCGGGACCCTGACCTGAGCCACCCAGGCGCCTGGCCTGCCATACCAATTTTATAAATAGCTTGTCTATATCTATAAAAGTCCTCTTGGGATCTTGATCAAAATTGCATTAAATCTGGGTTGCCTGGGTGGCTCAGTCCGTTAAGCATCTGCCATTGGCTGATTCTCCCTCTCCCTCTGTGTGCATGCTCTCTTTTTCTCAAATAAATCTTTAAAAAAATAAAAATAAAAAATTTTTTTAGGCTGCATTAAATCTGTAAATCAGTTTAGGGAGAATTAACATCTTCGCTCTGCCGAGTCTTTCTGATCCCTGAACATGGTATGCCTCTGCATGCACTTAGATCTGTTTTGGTGTGTGTTTCGTGTCCCGCTAGACTTATAACCAGGTATCCCTCTTCTCTCCTCCTTCCCGCCATCCTCCTCCTTTCCTTCTTTTTCAGTTATTGTAGGTGTGGAGCTTTCTGTTTGTTTTTGAACTGTTCATTGCTGGCATATAGAAATACAATCAATTTTAGTGTATTGGTTTCGTATCCTTTAGTAGTCTTGTTAAATTCCCTTTTTAGTTTTAGAAGGTATTTTTGTAGGTTTTTGTAGGTTTTCTAGGACTTTGTATATCAACAATCATGTTTTCTCCAAGTAGGAGCAGTTTTCTTCCTCCTTTTCAATCTGTATGTTTTCATTTCTTCTTCTTCTTGCCTTAATTACCTGATGAGGATTTCCAGTGTGATGTTGAATGGTAAAAGTATTAAATATGACATTAGCTGCAGACTTTTGTAGATTCCATTCTACTTATGCAGAGTTTTATCATGAATGGATGAGATATTTTATCATGAATGGATGAGATACTTCTTTTTTTTTTTTAGAGGAGGGGGAGGGGCAGAGGGAGAGGGAGAGAGAATCTCAAGCAGACTCTGTGCTGACCACAGAGCCCAACACAGGGCTCAGTCTCACAACCTGAGATCACGACCTGAGCCAAAATCAAGACTCGGATGCTTACCCAACTGAGCCACCCAGGTGCTCCTGGATGAAATAGTGCAAATGCTTTTTTTACATCAACTGATTTTTCTCTCATTAGGCTGCTGATATAGTAGATCATGTTGGCTGATTTTCTAGTATTGAATCAGGCTCGCATTCCCGAGACAAACCCCACTTGCTTGTGGTATATCATTTATTTTATATGTGCTGGATTGGGTCTGCTAGCATTTTGCTGAGGCTGTTTGCATCTGAGGTTTACTTTTGTTGTGCTTTTTTGTCTTGTTTGGGTATCAGGGTAATGCTAGCATCATAAAATGAGTTGGGAATTATTCCCTCCTCCTCTGCTTTTTGGAGGAGACTGCCTGTAACTGGTATTAAATACTTACTGAAATGTTGAATAGAGTTTACCAGTGAAACCATCTGGGCCTAGAGCCTTCCTTTTTGGAAGATTTTAACTATTAATTCATTTTCTGTAATGGTTATAGGACTACTCAGGTCATCTAATGCATCTTGGGTGAATTTTGGTAGAGTGTGGTTTTTGAGGAAAAACACTCCATTTAGGTTCTTGAATTTATGCACATAGTGTTTCTCATGGTGTCCCCTTATTAATCTTTGCATGCCTATGTGATCTGCAATAGGGCCCTTCCCATTTCTCTTATGGACAGTTTGTGTCTTCTTTCTTTGTTATTCTTCCTACAAGTTTATCTGTTTATTGAGCCTTCTTCAAAGAACTTGTTTGTGGATTCCTTGAGTTTTCTCTGTTACTTTTCCCTTTCCCAGTTCACACATTTACTGGTGCAGATCTCCCTGCAGCACTGTTGGGACTTGCCCCCCCCCCCCAGCCCCGCATATTTTGATGTGTTTTCATTTTCATTCAGTTCAAAATATTTTCTGATATTCTTATTTCCCTTAAGACTTCTTCTTTGACTCATGAATTATTTAGAAGTGTGTTGTTTATTTTCCAAGTATTTGGAGATTGATATCTTCCTGTTACTCATTTTTAGTTTAATTCTGTTATAGTCAGAAAGCATACTGGATAGGATTCCAGTTCTTTTAAATTTGTGAAGGTGTGTGTGTGTCCCAAAACATGGCCTTCTCGGTGAATGCACATGCTGCTGGTTCAGGTTGCAACACAGATGTCAGTCCCATGCATGTGGTCGGAGGTGGTCGGAGGTGGTCGGCGGTGCCCGGCCCCGCTCGTCCCCGAGCATCTGACCATTTGTAGCATGGGGTGGGGGGGAGCGGGGGGTGACTCTCCCACCGTAATTGTCTGTTTCTGCTTTTGGATTTTTGCTGTTGTATTTTGAAAGTCTCTTTCTTGGTGAATGTGCATTTATAGTTGTTATGTTTTCTTGGTGACCTGACCGTTCTATTGTCAGGTGATCCTGCTTGTTCTTTGCTCTTACATTGACTTTGTCTGGGTGTTAATAAAGCTGTAGTCAATATTGTTTGTTTTGATTGGTGTTCTGTGGTCTATATGGTCCCATCACCTTGCTTCTCACCTGCCTGGGTAACTGTCCTGGAAGTGAGTTTCTTATAGACAGTATAGGGTTGGATCATGTATGGTTTTTCAGTCCAGTCTGGCAATCTCTTAATTGGTGTGTTTAGAGCTATACTTACATTTAACCTGATTACTGAAATGTTTGAACCTCACCTGCCACCATTTGTTACCTCCTCATGGTTTGTCTGCTCAGTTCCTCGTTGCTCAGCTTCCCTTTCACTGCCTCTTTGGACTCATTCTTTAGTGTTACATTTTCATTTACCTGCTGAGTTTTTGACCATTTGCTCTTACACAGTTTTTTAGTAGTTCTAGGGACTACAATATACATACTTCACTTTTTGAGACCTACTTAGATTCAGCACTTAACACTCCCCGAAGATGTAGAATTCCTACAGTCAGAGAGAAAACATTCAGTGACCCTTATTGAAGGCGGCAAGGCGAACTCTATTAAGGACCATTGGGGTAGCTGTAGGGCCCCTACAGTGGGGTTTTACAACTGTGAATGCAGCAGGCCCAGTGGACATTCACTCCCAAGCAGCAGGTGGGATCAGTGGGTGGACACTTGCTGAGGGGACACATCAGGGCTGAGTGGGGAGTCTGGCTAAACTGATCTGACAAGAGCTCTGCTGAGGGCAGGCTGGGGTGATCACATGTCACCTGGGGGTGATAGCAGATTTGAGGGTGACCGGGTATCAGGGTGGGGGACTCTTGCTAAACTGATGTAGCAAGGTTCTTGCTAGAACTGGATTTTACAGGAGGAGCCCAGATGGCCTAGGAGAAGGTTGGGGAGCCTGACTACAGGCTGGTCAGGCAAAGAATCTTTGTTGCCCCCGTATGGGGTCACTTTGCCTTCTCCCGGTGTCGCCTGGTTTTCGTGTGGAATGTCTACATGTGGTGGTGGTGTAAACACTGTTAGATGAGGTTATAACGTTTGCTTTCCGCCTTCCAAATTGTTTGAAAGAACTCATGAGGAACAGAATGGTCATTTTTATTCACCCAGGTATTTACTGATTCTGTTGGTTTTATTTCATTTCTGAGTTTTCTGTGTTAACTCTGGCCTCATTTCCCTTCTGTCTGAAGAACATTCTCTGGTCATTCTTTTAGATGAGATCTGCTGGCCACAAGTTCTCTTGTTTTTTCTTTATCTACAGGTGTCTTTGTCTTTTCCTCCATCCTGAACGTTACTTTTTTTTTTTTTTAAGATTTTTATTTATTTGTCAGAGCGCGAGCGCACAACCAGGGGGAGCGCCAGGCACAGGGAGAAGCAGACTCCCCGCTGAGCAGGGAGCCCGGTGTGGGACTCGATCTCAGGACCCTGGGATCATGACCTGAGCCGAAGGCAGACGCTTAATGACTGAGCCACCCAGGCGCTCCCTGAACATGACTTTCACTGGATCTGGGATTCAGGGCTGATGCTTGGAAGTAGGTCCCCCATCTCTGGCGAGAACAGTCTGACCTTGGCAGTGGATCAGATAAAGGGCAGCAGTGGGAAAACGGGTGAAGTTCAAATAAAGTCTGCTTTGGTTGGAAAACAAACAGACCTCCTCCACACAGGCTGGATGGCGGGCGCCGGGCTGGGCCCTGAAGTGGGAGGTGGGCTGTGGCATCAGCCGAGAGCTGCTGGTGCGGGACAGGCTCTGGTTGTCCACCTGCTGTGCCAGCCTCAGAAGTATGGGCTCTGTTCAGGCCTCAGACAGAGAGTCCGACAGTTTGACAGCCTTTTTTGAAGGGTCTCTGCTTTTGTTTTGAAGGAGGGGGATGGTTCTTCCCCAGAATAAGTTCATTCCAGGTGGGAGCTGATGAGTCAGAACAGAGTGTCCCTGGCCTCCGTTCAGTCACCTTTGCTCTGTGCACAGCTTTGAGACGTGGACGGGCAGCTCGAATCCAGCCAGGCGCCGCCTGTGACGTGGGCCAGTGACTCATGGCTTCGAGTCTAGAGGACGAATGCGGTGACACACAGCTCCCCGCCATGATGGGGCCGACACCGCTCCTAGCCGTCTGATTGAGTTCCCGCGTTGCAAGATGCATTTTTCAGTCATTTCCAACAAAGTGTCTAATTTCAGAAGAGGGTGTGGTCGTTGGGGGGGTCACAAGGAAGGCAGGTGGAGTCCCCATCCTGAGAGGTGTCTGCTCTCTCCCATGCTACAGGTGACCCCAGGGTTCAAGGAGAAGGAAGGGGAGCTCTTGGTCAGGGGGCCATCTGTGTTCCGAGAATACTGGGACAAACCAGAAGAAACGAAAGACGCCTTCACCTGGGATGGCTGGTTCAAGACAGGTAGGAGGGGGCCAGCGGGGGGTGGCCCGGACACCCCAGAATCTTCTGTCCAGGGCAGAGATGGGGTGCAGTGCACTCTGTGTCTCCCGTCTTCAAGGCTGCATCCTCACCCTACCCCCAGGGCCCCAACAACCTCTAGAAGGAAGGCAGCAGCAGGGCCTGGATGTCAGAGAGCCTCCCCGCCCCACCACCTACCCCGAGCCCCCTGCTTTATGAATTTTCTTGCCCAACCCCCCCGCCCCCAGGATCCAAGTCGTTCTGGTAGAACATGGTTCCTCTTTCTTTTGGGTCATCTTACATTACTCTCCACGCTACGCCTGGGGCCCTGTGCTTGGTGTGCAGGTGATGCCCTCCCAGAGCTGCTCAGGATCCCCCGTCTCCCCTCCTTGGCCCCAGTGGTCCCGAAATATGGACTTTACAGCAGACACTGTGAATATTGAATATTAGCTTTGTAGCTGATTGAGAATGAGCTCCTGGCATGTAGGTGGTCCTTTTCTTTTTGCCCGTCTGTACGTGTAAAACTTTGTTGCTGACAATGCATCATTTCCTAGTAATCTTAAGACAATATTTTCTAAAAAGAAAGGCCTGCTTTCACATCTCCCCACATGCGGCCCCAGAGCCAGAAGCCGGCCTCATTCCCTGTCCTGTGGGGCGCAGAGCTGAGGAGAAAGGCTGCAAGCAGGTGGAGCGGGCTGCCATGGGACTGCCACGCATCTCTTAGGAGAAGACTGGTGGCTGTGGCCCCTAGTCTCGTGGCCACACAGTGGTCGCACGAGCACCTCGCTGAGCTCAGACTGGCATGGATTCGGGGGCGGGATCGCGTGTCCACTCTCATCTGCTGCTGTCACAGACCTGAGGTCACCGAGTGACAGAGCAGGGACCCGCATGGGCCCGGCAGTCTCGGGGTGCTGTGTAGGACTGCCAGGTGAGGGTTGGGTGTGAAGGGGGCAGAGGGAGGGTCTTCCTGGTGGGGGGTGTCGAGGGCCCCCTTCCTGTCACACTGCCAGGTGGCACTGGGTCCAGACTTGCTGGTCCCGGCCAGTCTCACGTCCACGCTGTGGTCCTGCAGCTGTCTATGGTTCTCTGCTCTGTGCCTGTGAAATGCGCATCCCGGCAGCTGCCGGGGGAGGTGTCCAGCCTCCCCTGAGCCTCTGTGCTGGGCACAGGAAGCCAGTGCGCGGGTGGTTAGGAAGGGCGTGCAGCGTGGACGTCTGTCAGCCTTCAGAGCGAGGCCGGACCTCGGGAACCCTGACGGGAGCAGAGGGCTCCGTGTGGTCGGGCCCCAGGAGCCCTGGTCACCTGTTTCGGGGTCACCTGTTTCGGGATGCCCTGTCTCCATGTGAGGGTGCGGTCAGCACGTTAACACGCCGGACTTCCATCGTGAGCACGGCGTTCCCACGAGCTGGTGTGACAGTGGGCAGGCCCCTGTCCGTCATTGTCCCTCAGGTGCAGGCTTGTACGTCCCTCCTGCAGGCCTCTGAATGGTCCCTGTGTGGAAACCTGACTTGCTTTGTGGCCAGCTTCTTTTATTTTTAAATTCAGATAAAAGCTTTAGGGTTTTTTTTTCTTTAAAAGCACAGGAACCCAAGCCCTGTGGATTTGCCGGGCGGCAGCAAAGGAAAGTGCGGGGCAGTCAGCGTTAAAACATTCAGTCATGCTGCTGATGAATATTTGAGTTGAAAAGGAATAGCATGCATTAATTATTGTAAAGAGATGTCTTTAGGAGAAAATGATTTTGAAATTCCGTTTAATTTCATTGTAATGCGCTGCAAACAGGAAGGGAGTGTGTGTGTTTAATTGGCTCTCGGGGGTGAGGCCTGGGAGCCGTGTGCCTTTGTCACGGGCCATTAGCGATACGGGGCTGCATAATGAGCGGGTGCAATCAGCTCGCAGCTGCCGGCGCCTGCGGGGAGAGCATGATATTAAATAGAAATCAGGGTAAATTAAACTTAACCCTTTCCCTGGCCAGCCCCTCCTGCCGCGGCTTCTGGCGGGAGCTGGAGAGCTGCTGCTCGTGGGCCTCGGGGAAGGGCCAGGTCCACGCCTGGGTGGGAGGACAGAGGTCACCAGCCGCTCCTGCCCTCCCTGCCTTGCCCTGTCCTCCTTCCCCAGATGTGCAAGGAGTTCCTTGCCAGCCCCCAGGGGTCGCGACTGCTACAAAGGAGACCCAGCGTCTCCCCCCAGAAACTCTGCCGACAGCCACGGTGACCCTCCTCCCGGCTCTTACTTGAGCGCCACCACGACCAGAGAGAGGTTGTTCGACATGCCCACGGGCACCAGCACGAGCCCAGGGCAGGGGGACAGGTGATTCCAGGAGCCAGGTGCCCTCGGGCCTTTATGTTGACCTTGCTGTCCGAGCAGAAGACAGAGGACAGAGGACATGGAGGTGAGGACACGGGACAGAGGTGAGGCTACGGAGATGATGAGAGATGAGGGAGACGAGGACACAGAGCTGACATGGGATGGAGGTGAGGACACGGAGCTGGGGACACAGATGGACATGGGGACCGAGCTGAGCAGACCTTACAGTTCCTTTGACGCCTGCCACTCAGCTCAAATGCTGCTGACTGAGCGTAAGGACATGAACGGCCTCTGACTTGCTCTAAAAATCCTTCATCGTGCACTGTTTAGCGTCACGACGTGGACGTCGAGGGCACTTAGGAGATGGGAATCAAGGACCCTGGGAAAATCCACCAGAGCATCGGCGGGTTCTTGCCTTCCTCCAGGGCAAGCACGTGACGTTACTCCCAGAGACACACATCACAGCAGGGTGACAGAGGGGGCCCTGGCGGGCATCGGCGCCCACATGGGGATGTTCCCCAGAGGCGCGCTCACGGGGCCTGGGCAGCCCTGGCGATGGTCAGATCCCAGGAGAGCAGAGAAGCTGGCCATAAAAACACGTAAGATATGGGGCCTTCCTCACTGTGGGAGAGAAACACAGAGATGGCCTCCTGTCGCCGAGTTTGAAAGATTCTGACCAAGCTGGGCCTTGCTGCCGTGAGGCAGGTCCTTTCCCCTGCAGGTGGGACTGTGGGTCAGGAGTGTTTCTGGGCCAAAGGGAATGACGAGAGGCGGGCAGAGCCGGGCGCACGGACGTCTGCCACAGCGTTTTTATTTATTTATTTATTTATTTATTTAATTTTTTTTTTTTTAAAGATTTAATTTATTTGACAGAGAGAGACACAGTGATAGCAGGATCACAAGCAGGGGGAGAGTTAGAGGGAGAAACAGGTTTCCCGCAGAGCAGGGAGCCCGACGCGGGGCTCGATCCCAGGACCCTGGGATCATGACCTGAGCTGAAGGCAGACGCTTAACGACTGAGCCACCCAGGCGCCCCTGCCACAGCGTGTTTAATAAAGTGCGGGGCGGGGACCCCGCCCGTGTCCACAGGTGTCCAGCAGCGGCTGTCGGGAGGCCCTTAGAAACCGTGTTCTGGAGAGCGGTGACATGAACTGATGACGCGTCTTGCACATGCGCGGTTCTCACAGCCGCCGGCCGCTGTCCCCTGTGGGCGGGCTCCTTCCTTCCTTGGATGCCTGGCCTCTGGTGCTCCCTCGGTGAGCGTCATCGCTCTCAGCGACACGGCGCGACACGCTAACCTTTCACACCTCCGATGGAGAAGGCCTCAGCGGCGCTCGGGCCGTGTCTGCTCACCTCCTGCCTCGCCGCAGTTGGGGTTCTGCTTTCCTCCTCCAACAAGGAGATCTTCCGTCTTGGCCAGCGAGGCGCAGTTAGGAACTAGGCCGCGTGCTGCGTGTGAGTGGGTGTGGGTGTGCAGAGGGGACGGTTGTCACCGACCTGTGCGCCCGCTGACCCGGAGGCAGGGTCACCGTGAAGGCTGTGCCAGGCAGCGGGGCCCCTCCGGGCATGCTTGGCGGGACCGGCCGTGCAGTCTGCAGCTGGCTAGGCCCCGGTACTGGCGGCCCCTTCTGTGAGCGGAAGGTTTGGATGTGTCGTGTCTGGTTGTTTTATCTTGCTTCAGAGTTCTTTGTTTTCCAGGGCTCGTGGGGTTGTGCGCCTGGGTCTCTCCTGCCCCTTGTCAGGCTTTGCGTTCATAAAGCTAGTCTCGGACCCTGTTCCGTGGGCAGTGACGCGGTGACCCAGTGGCCACGTGAGGCCGCGTTCCCTCTGTTGGATGTCGAGCTCCAGCTGCATGCGGGCTGGCTCCTGGGGTCCCTGCGCTGTTCCCATGTCGGTCCCAGACCCCTGCGCAGAGGAGTGTGGCTCAGTTTTCGGGTTTTATCGGAGTGACGCGGGCATGGCTGGAAGACCCGCGGCTCTAACCAGTGGCCATTCGCACCTGGCTCTGAGGCTGCTCTCCACACCCGTCCCCCCAGTGTCTGCACCATGGGGCCGTGGATGCAGCCTCATGGAGACCGTGGTCCTTCTGTGCTCTCGGTTCCCTGCATGAAGCACCCCGGTGCCACCCTGCCGCTCGGGGGAGACGCCCGGGCCCGCCGCCCCGCCAGGCCCCTCCTGCAGCTCCCTCCTTCCCTTCTGCTCCACAGTCTGCGCGCTGCATTCCCCAGGAGCCTCCTGACAGTAGAGGTGTGGGGTGTGCATTTCGGGGAGTGGGTGTCTGGCAGCGTCTTCGCTCGGTCGGGCGAGGTAGAGTTCAGGGTTCGAGACGCTCTCTCGGTTTCTGGCTTCCACGCTTCTACCAGCTGCAGCCACGTCGTCCTTCCTGGCACCGTACGACCTTTCCCCTCTTCGGAGTCCTAGAGAATCTTCTCCATCCCAGAGTCCACGTCGGACAAGTCGAGTGCCTTGGGTGCCCTGACTTTGACGTCCCTCCTCGTGCTGGCGCTCGGGACACCCTATCCTGCGATGCTGGGAGCTGTCCGGCTGATTCTCTCCGCTCCGGAGCCTGGCCGACACGTGGGGGCTGAAAGCAGGAAGGACACCTGGGAGGCCGAGCTGCCCCATGGCCGGGGGGAGTCGACCCACCATGAGCTGCCCCCTACCTGCCCCAGCCCCCAGCCCTGTCTTGGGGCGATGCCAGAGCAGCCGTGCCAGGCTCAGGGGGCCTGATGGTGCCCGACATGCGCCAGGAGCAGAGTGGGGGGCTGGGTTCTCAGCTGCCGCCCTGCATCCCCGGGAGAGCAGGGCAGGTGTTTTCCAGCAGGGGCGGGGTGCTGACACCTGGCGGACAGACAGCCTCATCAGGCGCGTTAATTAGCATCGCGGTGGGCAGTTTCTTGTGCTTGCTTTCGGTCGTGAGTTTAGTTAACACAGATTCTTTTCTGGAATTATTGTTCAGTCAGAGTGTGTTGCAGACGCTGGAGTGACTCGACTTGGGGGTGAGCCCCCAGGGGAGGCAGGACTTCTCCACAAACCAAACAGCGGTTTCTTAAAACGCTTTCTTTGCAATAGGTAGAGATTCGCAGGAAGCTGCAGATGGCGAGTAGGGTGGCCCCTTGCACCTTCACACCATTCCCCAGTGTCCACGTCCTGGTCACCAGCACGACACCAGAGCCCGTCCCTGGGCTTGACCAGGGTCCCCCAGCCCTACACATGTATGTGCACCTGTGTGTGGGCTCTGCTCACCATCCTCAGCACACATGTAGGTCCGTGCTGCTCTGCGGCCCCACGTCTGTTGCCCTCGCCCCCCAGCCCACTGCTTGTCGTTCAGAGTGGCACAGAGACAGACCCGACAAGTGTAGCCTTTGGGGATTGGCCTTCTTCCCTCAGCATGATTCCCTTGGCCTCCACATCCCCCGGCTGGGCCCCCACGCTCCACAGCAGACCCTGCATGAGGCAGACACTTGGGGAAGCACGGAAGGGGGTGCAGCCCCGTGGTGTGGAGCCGGCCCGTGCTGGGTGTCCCTGCCTGAAAACAGGCTCAGCCCGCATCTCCCCAGAGGCACGGCCGGACGTTGGCCACAGAGCAGGCAGCTTGGTGTCCACGGTGAGGCCGGGCCTGACGTGTGTCACGTGGCACCAGAGGGAAGGCTCTGGCCCCCGCGGGAGCACATGAGGGGGTGTGCTCGGCAAGGAGTGTCTCCGCCTCCCCGGGCGTGAGCATGCGCTGCGGGCCGGTGTTGTCCCCGTCTGTCCCCCAGCTGCGTCGGGGAGGCACGTGAGGGTTTCTTCCCGCCGTGGGTGGCAGGTGCCGCCAGGCCGCACGGAGTCCGCAGGACTGCCCACACTCCCCAGATGCCGCAGCGTGTCTGTTCCCCCCTCCTACTTTGTTCAGTTTATCCAAAACCTTGAAGTTGCCTGTTCTGGGGTCTTTGGGGTTTGGGCGCTTACTGTCTGTTTAACCCGCCCTCCTGGGAGCTGCCAACTCAGGTGCGCAGAGACGCAGGGGAAGCTGAGGGAGCCGCGTGGCCTCCCGAGCCATTCCCGCCGCGCTGTGCTTGGGGCTCTGTCCCGCCAGGAGCACGGCAGGCGGGCGGCGCTGTCACACGTGGATGTCAGGCAGGGCTCTGTACATGGCTTCCGCCCTCGCTGCCCAGGACCCCTCTTTCTGAGCCCCATCCTGGCACTGGGCACGTCCTGCCCTTCAGAGGTGGGCTGCCCGTGGGTTAGACACTCATGGGAGTTTGGGGACAGCGCTGGTCTCCAGCCGTCTCTGTGCTGGGATTCAGCGTCTGTGTCAGCCAACACCCAAGGAAATGGAGCAGAAAGGCCTGGAAGGGGTGTTGAGGGCCCTTGTTTCTGGGACCGGGCCTCAGTTCCGAGTGCGTCCCCTGATCAGCCTGCGCTCCCCGGCCCCCGTGGTCCTTCATTCAGAACTGAGACAGCTGGCGTCTGAGGGTCTCCAGGCAGCTGGGGAGGGGCCCCTGGAGAGCAGGGCAGTCCCATTCCGGTCCCCTTCACCCCTTCACAGTGAGCAGACGTGGTGCTCCCCCATCCAAGGACGTGCGCCAGAGCCCACTGCCTCCTTTCCTGATGCTAAGGGCAGGACCGGAAGAGCAGCCCAGGGGGCAGGGGCCGCGTCAGGGAGATGCCCCCCAGCCTCAGCAGCCGTGGTCTCGGCAGTGCAGGGCGTCTCCGGCAGGTAGACCAGGGACAGGAGCCTGGACCCAGGGCAGGGTCCCTCGCTCTGCTGGGTCTCTGGGCAAGTAGAGGTGGTGGGAGCAGGTCCAGGAAGGCTCCAGAGGGCCCGGGGCTAGTGCAGTGTCCGTCTGGCAGCAGGAGGGCAGTGACAGCTTAGACTGGGCCCCTTGGTGCCTTTAAGGAACAGCTCTCCGGAGAGAGCATGCAGCCGTCCAGTGGGGAGGGGATGCAGCCAGAGCGGCACCTGCACCCCAGGAGTGGGGAGCACAGGGGGCCTCGCGGGACCCAGGGCGGGCTTCGTCCACCCCAGGCCTCCCTGCGGCCCTTCCTGCTCCTCCACACCTGCACCACTTCCCGCCAGCCGCCACCCTGCAGCCCATCCTGGGGCCACGGCGCCCTTTCCGAGGATGCACTTGCAGGCCTCCGCTTCCTGTCAGCGGGAGAGAACCCACCACGCTCGTGGCCTGTCCTCAGAGCCTCGCCTTCCCACGCCGCCATAAGTAAGCCAGCCACCCATCCACGCACAGGCATCTGTCCCGTTTATAGACTGGATCACGCCCTGGCTGTGGCAGATGATGGATGGTGCCTTCCTGCGTGGGTGGCGTGACTCGTAATGAAACACCGATGATTTATTCCAGCTAATGACCCAACATGGGGCTCGGGTGTGAGCATAGGCAGGGCGGCGCCAGCGCTGTTCTCAGAGGGCTGGATGGGGGCGTCCCCACAGGCACACGCACACGTGCGTGCATTGTGGGAGCACACACACGTCCACACGCGTGTATGTCCACATGCATGTCCACGCACACGTCCACACACATGTCCACACACACCTCCACAATGCACATGTCCACACATGCACTTGTCCACACGCATGTCCACGCACACGTCCACACATGTACACGTCCACACACATGTCCACACACACCTCCACAATGCACATGTCCACACACATGTACGTCCACACGCGTCCACACATGCACGTGTGCGCGCACACACTCAGGCCCACCTCCCCTGCGCCCTCTCTGTTCTGGGCTGGCCCTCGCTGTCCCCCACCCCACCACCTGCTCATGCTAGGATGCCTGGTGAGCATCCCATCGCCCAGCATGGCCTGAGAGGGGACCAGGTGGGTCTCCGAGGGGACTGCCACGTGGGGAAGCATGACAGGAAACCACACAGTTGACGTGGAGGGGCAGGAGGGCTTTGTCCTCCTTCAGAGACTCCGTGTCACTGCCTTGCAGCCCGGGAGACCCCACGAGTGAAGGGGGGCTGCAGTGATGTCCTCTCCACTAGGACCCTGCTGTGGCTGGGACCCCACGGTGGGATGAAGGAGGCGGCCGATTCTTGTTCTGATTGCAGGAGCCTGAGGAAGAGCGGGAGGGGGCCGAGCTGGGTGGTGACCACACCGGCCGTCCTGCCTCTGAGCCTGGTCTTCACAGGCGGCCCCCATCGGCCGTTGTGGGACGCTGCTGTCTGCACAGGGCCGTCTGGGGTTGGACCACAGGCTGAGGTCTCAGCCGTTGAGCTCCATGCTTGCCGCCTTGTCCTGAAACGGCCCACGTGCACCCCGGCCCCAGCATGGGTCACCGTGTGGGGATATCGATGCCCCCAGACACAGGCGCCCAGCATGTGATGGGGTGGGGGGCGCTGCTCACCACATGGGTGCCCCTCGAAACATGCTGGGCCCGGCGCGCGTCCTGACTAGAGCACCTTTTCTCAGGCGACACGGCCGTGTTTAAGGACGGCAGCTACTGGATCCGGGGCCGCACGTCCGTGGACATCATCAAGAGTGGTGGCTACAAGGTCAGCGCCCTGGAGGTAGAGCGGCTGCTGCTGACACACCCCAGCATCACGGGTACGTGGCCCCTGGCCCGTGGCAGGGCCTCCAACAGCGAGCAGGGTCCAGACCTGATCCTCTGGCAGCATTCCAGATGTGCTTCCGTCTGTGTTTGACTGTCGACAGAACCGGACCAGGTGACCCACCCTTGGGGCACACACAGGAGGGGTCCCTCTGCCTGCCATCCGTGCGCCCCCCACCTCTGTACCGCGGCTGGGGTCCCGGCCTGAGCGGGCTGCTGCTGGTCGGCTCAGCAGCACCGTCTTGCTCACGGTGGCCGTGGGCTGAGCATCCCGGTTGTGCCAGAGTGGCCACCGGTGGTTGCTGGTCCAGGAAGTGTGGACCCCACCCAGACCTGCCCCTGACCTCAGGTCACAGGCTGAGGACCCTGGGGATGGCAGGGGCCCCCCCACGTGGCTCACGGGTTGTCCCCAGCCCTGGGGCAGTGCAGGGAGGGCAGAGACGCAGGAAAGCCAGCCCCCACCCTGAGCTCCAGCCGGGAGACCCGTGGGGACCGGGCCTCGCCCCGTCCCCGGGAGGACCAGCCATGCTGGCCCCATGCTCCCCTCTGGGTGCGTCCCCAGCCTGCGGCAATCAGCACAACATTCTTTCTGTCCACAGATGTGGCTGTGATTGGAGTTCCAGACATGACTTGGGGCCAGCGGCTCACTGCAGTGGTGACCCTTCAGGAGGGACACTCGCTGTCCCACAGGGAGCTCAAAGAGTGGGCAAGGTAGGGGCAGGCCGGGGAATTCATGGGGCTGGAGGAAGGGACAGGTTGGGGGTGGACTGTCCCGGGGTGGGGGGAGGCAGGCAGAGTCTCGGGTCTTGCCATCATCCATCTCAGGGTCGGGGGGTTGCCTGGAAGGCCAGGTGATACATTACATTCCCGAGGCTGCCCCCAACACACACAGGGCCGCAGGGAAGCTTTATAACGGTTACCGGGGAGACAGAGCTGGGACCACGGGGTGGGAGCCCCACCCATGGGACAGGGTGCAGGGTCCTCCCCCGGCTTCAGAAGGAATCCAAAGGCAGAGAGCCTCCCGTCCTGCCCCCTCACCCACCCACCCTGTGCTGAACGTGGCCGTTGGGAGCTGGGGCCACGGTGCTCCCCTCGCCTGTGCCCCCACCGCAGGCCTGTCCCCTCACCATGCGTCCCCGCGCGCTCACCTTCACCTTACCCTAGACCGTCCCCAGAGCCTCTGTGCCCACGTGCCATGGCCCCAGGGCTTTCTCTGCGTGCCGACACGCACAGTCCCCCTTCCCTGTGCCTGTCGTGCCCCACGGTCAGTCACGCCAGAGGCCGGGGGACAGACAGCGTGGTCACAGCCCCGAGCTCAGAAAGGAAGCTGTTAGTAATGTCCCCCAAATTCTTTATTTCCAATCTGAGAAGTTTCTCCTTCCTCTGCCTGCTCCCTGCACCCCCTTCCTTCCCAACTTGCCTCCCTCCTCAGCACTAAAGATATTTTTGGCTCGTCCAACATGATTTCACAACAGCAGGAGCCCCTCATTTCATGAAGGGGCAGCACAGCTGGGCGATTAGCTTCCCCTGGATTTGCAGAATCACACTTGGAGCAGGGTGTTCAACAAAGGAGAAAATTCTAGTCGTCGTTGCAGCTTCAGTTAAACGCCACACACCCTGTGCTGAGCTCTCCGCCCGAGAGAGTCGGGGTCCGCTCTCAGGAGCCGCGTGCGCACCTGTCAGGCTTGTGACCGAGGCCGCGGGAAGACCTGAGGCGGGGGCTTTGCGCTTGGGGTGGGGGTGGGGGGCACCCCTGGGAGGTCAGGGCAGGCAGCCCACCCGCCGTCCGCAGGACTGTCGCACAGTGAGGCCAGCGTCCAGGCCTCTGTGTCCTCAAGCTGGGCCATCACTGGGTGGGGACGCTGAGGCCACGCAGCCCACGCAGGCCAGGTCGGACTCTGGATCCTCACTCTGCCTCTCCGGACATGGCTCTTAGGGAACGTGCTCTCCCTCCTTGTCACCTCTGCGCTCCCGTGGTTTTCCTTTCTCAAGATTCCTCCCTCAGTCTATGCTCCTCGGGCCAGAGCCAGTGTCCCCTTGAGGGGGTGAGCGTGGCCTGGAGTAGGGCAACAGCGCCACCTTTGCGGGACCCAGGACACGGCCCACCCACTGCCCTTCTGTGCCCCAGATACCAAGTTGGAAAGGGACGTGGGATTTACACACCAGGGAAGAATCCAGGATCCGTGCTCTTGACCCACAATTGATGTCTGATGAGACCACAGAGGAGTGGTGGGCTTTGGCTTAGTGTTCATCCTCACTTTGTGCCTGCCATGCCTTCTCCCGGGAGGACACCTCCTCCGTGGACCATGTTTCCCCAGAAGCCTGCTTTTTCACACCAGCTCAACTTGGCCTTGAGGCGAGTCTAAACGCATGGGGTCCACCGTGCAAACACGTCCCGGGCAGAGTCGTCAGGCCCCCGCGTCCACGGCCTGCTGTTCTTGGAAATGCCGGGGCCCCCAGCCGTCCTTCCTAACACTTCTACATCGTTTCTAACTTCTGTGGCTTTTGTTCCTTTTTTCAAAAGTGGCTGCTAAGTTAGGGTTCATAACGCCCTGCTCTCACATACCACCGTCTGCACCCCGACCCGGGCCCCGGCGACACCCTCTACTGCTCTCGCTCCACACTGTTAGCACGGCTGACCCTTGAGCAGACTGACCTGCTCACCGAGAACAGTCGATCGAACGTAGTTTGTACGTTGTGCGTATCGTGTCTCGTGTTCTTGTGCGGCAAGGTAAGCTGCAGCAAAGAAAAGGGGAAGAAAATCACAAGGGAGACCAAACACATTTTCAGTCCTCTGCCGCGTTTATCCAAAAACCCACATAGAAGTGGATTCATGCGACTCAAACTGGTGTTGTTCAAGAGTCAGCTGTATTTCTGTTCAAGGGTCGTCTCTCCGAGAGGGTCCAGTCCCCAGGAGACGACGCGTGTCCCAGCCTGCCCCCGGGCGCGGGCTCCTCGGCAGCCTCCCGCTCGTCTCTGCTGCCGGTCTGCTCCCGTGGGGACTGTCTGCGTCTCTGTCTGAAATGCCTTGAACTTGGTCTTCATTCTTGAGGGTGCTTTCTCTGGATGATGGGCAACCATGCTCCATGGCCTGCTCACCTGGCCGCCCAGCACCGGGAGCGGCCGGCGCCTCGGGCCTCCCTCTCTGGGCCCTGGCACCAGCCTGCTGCTGGCTGGCCGCAGGGGAAGCAGGCGTGGGGAGAGCCGCCCACACACCCCTGAGACATGGGGCTGGGGTGCTCAGAGGGGTGCGTTCCTTGATCGGGCCTCAGGGGCTCGCTGCCCCGCCATGCCGCCAGAGTCCCTTGCACAGTCCTGGTGGCTTGTTCCAGCAAAGCCCAGCCCAGTCCTACCCTTGTGGGCTGCCAGCTGTCTCTCACAGCTGCCAGGACCGTAGGTGGGGCACCCTCTCCCCTCACAAGCCTTCACCTGCACCCCCAGCTGCCCCGTGCTGGCCTGCGGCTGGCTGCTTTCAGCACGAGCCGCCCCAAGGTGATGGTGCGTTCAGTGGGGTGTCACGAGCTCACCACGATACCTCCGCAGTGGCTGAGCTTGCCACCACAGCTTGCAGGCCAGAGGGCCACACACGGCCTCCTGGCCCCGGGCACACCCCTGCCTGGTGGCACGCTATGCTCTCCTTACAAAGGGGATGTGGCCCCATGTGCGGCTGTCGGAGGGCAAGGGGCAGGTGGCTTGGACAGGGCCTCAGGAGAGAAGCAGTGCCTGCTGCCCAAGGAGGAGTTTCTGAGTAGAGCCTGTGGGTGGCAGGACCCGTCCACGTGGCCCCTCACGGGAGAACGCACCATCTAATGGGGGCTCCTCGTGGGAGTGCGGGACGCAGGGCAGCTCTCGGACCCACAGACCAGCCCCTCCCACTGCTTATCACAGGGCTCTGCCCGGAGCGCGGCCCCAGCCCACGTGGCCGTGGCTGCCATGCCCAGGGCTCTGCAAGGGTCCCCTGGCCCTACCCACCTGCCTGCTCCACCCATCTGGCTGTGGCCTGCTGTCGTGACAGCGAGCCGAGAGTGGGACCTGCTCCTCCCGGCTCTGGGAGGCCTGGCCCTGAGGAGGGTTTGTCCTCTGCCCACGGGTGGGCCTGGAACATGGGCCGCAGCATCTCCGGGTTCGCAGTCACAGCAGAGACGCCCTCCCGGGGCAGGCACCAGATATGGTTGGGCTTTGGGCCCTGGGGGACCGGGCTGCCTGTCCCATGGGGAGGGGGCCGTCCGGGCCCCAAGTTCCTGCCGCTCAGACCCTGCTTGTCTCCACAGGGGCGTCCTGGCCCCGTATGCTGTGCCCTCGGAGTTCCTGCTGGTGGAGGAGATCCCGCGGAACCAGATGGGGAAGATCAACAAGAGGGACCTCGTCAGGCAGTTCTACCCGGGCGACCAGGGTGCCCCTAGGCCAGGCACCAGTGAGCTGGCATCCTCTGTAAACTAGAGCCCTACCTCAGAGGGGACCGAGCTGGGGCCTTGCAGGTGCTCCTCCCGTGTTTCAGAGCTGACACAGATCTGCCGCCGACCTCATGCTCTGCAGCAGCTTGCTGTGTTTGCGGACCTAAGCTCTGAGTCGCCGCGCAGAGGCCCGCCCGCTCCCACGTGTCACCTTGGGATTGCGTGGTCACTGCCATGGGCTTCTTCCCAAAAAGGCCATACCGTGTAGACTGCCTCCAACAGACAAGACACTGTCTCTCACCTCCAGGCAACACGGACGGACAGACTTTCAGTCTTTGCCACGGTGCTGGATGTGAAATAGGATCTCTTTATTTTAATTTGCATTCCCCTAGTTGCTGCTTAGGTGGAATATTTTGAATACATTTACTGACCATTTGAGGTTTTGTTCTGTGAATTCCCTG